GGGATGCCATGGGGTTAGCATTGCACATTGAGTTGACTTCACGGCGCAGTAAAATTTTAAAATTATGCATTTACATTCTTAGAGCATTCAAAACTATGCAGTTGAGGGGATGGTAGGCATTGTATGTTTGGAAGTTCTTGGTCTGCTGCTTAATCAGCAAAGATTCAGCAGCAACATCCCTGCGACTTGTCCTGGGTATTTCTTTCGTTTAGTTAATCTGGATTCAAACTCAGGTCCCTGTTTCAACACTTCATGGGTGTACCAACTGGGCTAGGCCCGGAGGCGCCCCTCAACTTGTCCTATTTCCAGCACTCTGTTGTCCTATCTCAAGAATTGGCAGTCATGCACAATGTGCATGCAAACATGCACACGTATGGTGGGCTACACCCAGCAAATTGTTTTGTTTTATAAACTTTTACTAGGCTGGTCCCCGGGCCGCCCGGCGGCCTGGCCGTCGCCCGGGGGCGGTGCTGGGTCGCCTGGCCGGTTGTCGCGCCCGGTTGGCCACCGGGCGCCCCCAGCGCATCACTGTAGGTTAGTTTTTTTTCTTTTCTTTTCGGCGCTGGGCCCCTTTTTGCCCCCTTCATAGACCGTGTGGACCGCGAAAAAAAAAAAAACGGGGCCGGTAGGCCCGATTTCACCGATTTGAAATCGGGCCCCATCTGGATCGTCGATCTCGAAGATGGACGGCCCAGATTGCACCGATTTCAAACCGGTGAGGGCGGGAACTACCGGCCCCCGTTCCCTCCCCCGTGCTGAAGATGTCCCCCCGACGTCCCCCCTTCCCTGCCTTGCAGCACTGTGTCCGCCGGCCTTCGACGCACAACTTCAACGCGCTTCTTCGACGCACCCCGCCAGCACCTGCCAACGCCCGCCATCGCGCATGACCCCGCCGTCGCCCGCCAACGGCCGCCTTCAACATTTTTTTTTTTTTTTTTTTTTCAGAACCACTTGGTTCTGGCTCCTACCATTCTGGGGAGCAACAGTCCGGTTCCTATTCCCCGGCAAGTCAATGGAAAGTACAAAGTTGACTCACCCCACGCTCCTCCCGCCTTCAACAAGGTAAGGGACTTAGTTGGAGAGAGAGAGAGAGAGAGAGAGAGAGAGAGAGAGAGAGAGAGAGAGAGAGAGAGAGAGAGAGA